CTTTTCCCACACCCCAGCCTAGTGCCTGGCCCTTGTCCTAAAGTGCTCTAGTGGCTCCTGAGAGAAACAGAACCCCATTCTCCATTCAGAAGCTGAAATCCAGGCCCCCACTGATCAGAACGACAACAGAGAACAGAGCCTTATTAAAAAGTGGAGTCATATAGACTTTAAAACTAAAGACCCAGAGCTAGAGACGTGGCTCAGATGGTAAAACGTTTGACTAGCATGTATGAGTCCTGAGTTTCATCCCCGCCTTCACAGAGAACCAGGTATTTGGGTGAATGACTGTGATCCTGGAATGCAGGAGGCCGAAACAGGAGGATCAGTCATTAGTTTTTTTCTCCTCTAAAAGAGACATACAGAGGAAAAAGGCAGCAGAAGTTATAGTCATTTACAGGAGTACATACACATAGCATGCTTAAAAATATTATGAATTTGCTGTTTCAAAAATCATATCTGTATGAATAGCCACAAAGGAGACACCAAACTGAGGAAAGGGGGTTCTAAGAGAGGACACTGGGGGAGAAGGAGCAGGGTATGGGGGGAATATGCCCACAAATGCATGACATACTTGAATAAGGCCTGAATAATAATAATTATTATTATTATGTGACGACACAAAATATAGAACAGGAACAGGCGAGCTGCCTGTGACAGAGCAGGGAGGGGATGGGCACAGCTGGACTGAGTTCTGCTGAGGGCACGGCAACCGATTGCAGTTTCCTTCTTCCAGCTCTGCTCTGGAAAGCTGGTACCTGTATTCTCCTTGAAGGCCATTGTGGATCTAAATGTTTGTCTTCTTCTGTCAACACCAACCAGTCTAACGTCTGTCAAACCTTGATCCTTGTACTTCCTCAGCAGGGTCAGGGCTTGCCTAGCATGCGTGAAGGCCCGAGCTCAGTCCCCAGAATTGCGGAATGCAGTTCTAATGGAGCATGCCTATAAGTCTAATACTTGGAAGAAACAGGAGAACTGTAAGCTCAAGGTCATCCTCAGCCACAGGACAAGTTCGATGCCAACCTGAGCTATATGAAATACTGTTTCCATTTTTCACCCTTTCTGTAAGTATAGGACAAGTTTATTCTAACAGATGTTATTTGGCAGATGTGGCTTCCATGGCCCCGCATTTTCTCTCTCATATTTTATAAGAGTTAGAATATGCTGTTTTGTTAGTTTTTATTGATAGTTAATAATTTATCGCTTAGTTGCCTAATGCTATCACACACAGATTAACAGGCACACAATAAACATGCCTTTTACGTGTCCATGTATACAGGAACATAGAGTTTATACAAACATGTGGTCTCATAGGACGCCTGAAGTTCAAGCATGAAGTGTTACAAGTTAGAGGCTAGGTGGGGTGGCGTGTGCCTGCAACCTCAAGACTGGAAGAGAGGGTAAGAAAGCAGGAAGATTGCTCACATTAAAGACCAGCCTGGTCTGCACAGTGAGTGCCAGGCCAGCCATGGCTGCACATGGAAAAACCCTGTCTCAGAAACCCAACAAGCAAAAAAGAACTACAAGTTAAGATTGCTGGATTCATCTACCAAGCCTAAGACTCTTACAACACTTTAGCCTTCCAGCGCCTTCCTGCTGTCCCTGGCTTTGTCTATACTTTAAAAACGTGAGCTTTGCTTCTTTCCCCGTTTCTCCCAAACGCTGAGAGAGACGGTCAGGCATGCCCTGCTAGGTCATTCATGCTTGGAGAAGAAGCTCCCACAGACTGCAGAGCCTAAGGTCCTTCCACTGCATCCTATAACCTTTCACAGTTTGAGAGAGAGATGTCAGAGGAGTCTGAAGGGGCTGGAGAGCTGTCCCTACACTGTCACTGACTGCTGAGAGCTGCTGCTCTCCAGCAATGCGTCCGTGAGCGAGCGTCTCAGCGTGGCTGGAACACGCTTTGCGGACGTGTCTCTGCACTGTGCATCTCTCAGCTGGCTAAAGGCTGTGTGGCTGGGACTAACAAGCATGAGAGACCAACAATCACAGCAGATTAGTCATCTGTAACTGGAGATCCCTGGAAGAAAAGCAGCGCACAGTAGCTTGCATTTGACTTAAATGCTTCAAGTTCTTTCCTAGCTGGTGTGAGAAGAGGCCTTTCTCCGGCTCCTGCTGGAAGGCCAGACACAGGAATTGGTTTTCTGGATCAAACTCTGGGACCCTCACTTCTTAGCAGTAAGCTTTCAGAAAAACTGTATCAAACTTGAGTTTCCTCCGTTTAAAAACAAGGCCAGTGCCCTGCAGACCCCACCTAAAAGCAGTTGATCCATGCTAAATGCCAAAGACGTGCTTATGAGTTTCACCTTTCATGTTAGTGCTCACAGGGTCTAAACAGAAACTCAGGGAAACAATCATATTGACAAAGACTATGCATGGCCCACCCTCCACTCCATGCACGTGTGTGCGCGCGCGCATTTGGCCAGAGGCTCCTTTCTCAGGTACTATTTCTCCAGCACTGCTCCCCTCCCTTTTGTTAGGCTGGTGGCCACTGAGCTCCAAGGCCCTGACTGTCTTGGCTTCTCAGCATGGGATTAGAAGTGCACACCAGTCATCTTCTTATGTGGGCGATGGCGTTTGAACTCGGGACCTCAGGCCTGCTGTGCAAGCACTTTCCCAACTAAGTCATCTTCCCAGCCACTGAAGAAGCCTTTGAAGCCCTGCTTACCAAGTTATGAAGGGTCTAGAGGAAAATCAAGGTTTTCAAAGTTCATGTCTTCCCCGAGATAGCACTGTGTGCATAACATGGAGCGTTTCTTATTTTCATCTAGTGGAAATTTACCAGTTGCTTTTTGAACAAGAAATTTAAGAGGCTTCAACCCCATATCAGTTTTGAGCATTTTTCATGCACTGTTTCACAGCTGTCGACTAGCTTCTAAGTATACCCAGGTGCTATGCAGCCAGCCCTCACTGGGAAGAAGCAAGTGGGTGCTGGTGAGTTGGGTCATGGTTTTGACATTGTCTGGGATTTCGTCCCACCTGTTTCTGTTCAGGGCTTTCACCTAGCAGCTAGGAGAGTCTGGAATTTCAGAATGCCACAAGCACCAAAGCTGTCTTCTGTCACCCAGACACACAGCAGCCGCCCTGCCTGTAGCGTAACACGGATGTAACCGCTTCATCTGGGAGTCAGGGTTCCAGGTTGTTCTATGTTCCCTCTCAAACTCAAACCCAGACCCTAACAAGAAGATTTCATAACTTTAGTGCCATACATTCTTGGAAACATTGACAAAGTTCTTCTTTCTTAAAAATTGCTATCCGTTCCTTCAGTAAGTATAGCTAATGTGTTAGAGTTTATTTACGCTAAAAATCAATTCCATTTTTATGAACTACTATATTTTATATAGATACTGATCTTTGAACAATATTAAGTTCTCATAGAATATAGAAAACCTTTTGCCTAAATGTTATTAAATGCTCTGATCCCAGGGAGCAGATCTTGTTAAACACTCACTTTGAAAGGACTGATCACGCACAGCACCGTCATAGTCAAATGACTAATGCCACAGCACCCGCGTCTGCCGAGTGACAAACTTTTGAATGCATGTTTTGACCTGTTTTTGCTTTAGGAAATAAAGGAACCACTTTAACACGCTTCTCCCACGTCCTCTGGAAAGACCAAACAGTTTCAAGAAATCGCTAACTCTGTCCAAAATCATCATCCTCAAGTGATGTGTCTTGCAGAGTGTGCTGTTACCCCAGAAATAAAGCCACTTTTACCATGCCTGGAGCCACTCCATGCATGTTGCCTTTGCTAGAAAAAGTGAGTCCCTTTCTGGTTTTGGTTTCTGTTACTTGGACTATTTTCCCACTTTTAGGAAGAAACGGCAGGAGAAGATAAAAATGTTGTATGATGTATTCCTATTTTTTGACAAGCACAAGGATATATCCCTATCATGATTATTCTCTTTTTCGACTTTTTATTGAATCCTTGTGAGTTTCATGCCATGCAGCCCAGTCACACCACCCTGGAAGTCTCCCTCAAAATACAAAGCATGGAAAACAGCCCATCGTGGAAGCTGTAGAGTGTCCCAGTGTGCCCACAGCATCCTTCCGTCCACACATCTTCCCTTGGAAATGTTCAAACCAGTGAGTCATGGGTCTGGTTCAAGATGTCTGGCTTCTGTGACCTCATCAATATTGGATGCTCACTGGCCTCCTCCCAGTTATCCTGTTGTTGCCCTGTGTGTGGAGATCCTGCAGCTTTGGGTCAGCAGGACCGGCCCTTTCACATGTCCCAACCATTAACAGATAACATAACTTTTGGGGTGGGTGCTGAGCTGGTCAGTACAGGCACTCTCCCTCATCCACTCCACCAGGGCTCTCCAGGGCTGCTCTGGGTAGGCTACCTGGTACTGCCATCCACAGGAGGCAGGCTCAGCTCTTCTGCTCTCACGCCCTCGGGCTGGCTCACCCACACCCCTGCCATCTGAGCCAGTGCAACTGTGCTGCCTGGGCAGGGTGCAGGGCCTGCTCTCCCAAGTGCTACTGCAGGTAAGAAATGAGCTCTTCAGAGCACCGCGGCCATTGAGGGATGGAGCCAGTTCTGTACAGCCCTTGGACTTCCATATAGCTGGCTCAGACTGCCCCAACCATGAATATCCCAATGTTCTCTAGTGGTAATATGAGCCATGGACATTGACACCAACCCCTGCTGCTGTGCATCCACAAACTCAAACACAGTCCAGAGGCTGGGACCTCACCACGGCCCCAGGGGGCGGGGCTGGCCACTCGCACCAGGCTCTCCTCTCCACCCTCCAGTCTCCATCTCTCTTCATAAGGCTCAGGCACTGTGGTGGCTCCCACTGCAGGCTGGCCAAGAGGCTGGCAGGCCCCTGCACGACAGCCTCCACCCGTGCTGAATGGCCTGGTGTGGCTGCAAGTGGGTATCTATAGCCCTTCTGTGCCGTGCACTGAAGGGCAGGTCTGGGAGTGGCCTGGTGGTCCACAGGTCTCTGTCTGTCTTTCTCCCCCCTTGTCACACTGCTCAGATTTGATTTGATTTTTTATGAATCATGGGCATGAAACAGCTTTGGCCACCAAGCCAGGCACCAGCTAGAAAGAACAAAGGCCTGCCATCTGCTCTGCCCCTGACGGATATAAGAACAGTGCCACCAGCAAGGTGTGTCTTTGCCCATTTCCAGGGGGGTCATAATTACTCTTAATTAGTTATAATTCAAACTGCTGTGCTTCCTAACATTCCAAACCCATTTGAAACTTTACCTGTCCATAGCAGGATTTCATCAACCCCAGCACTGTCCACGGATAAAATGGTGGTTTCTGGAGCTGCTCAGCCTCTGCAGACTATTACCCTGAATAAGCATAGCTTTTCACCCATCTGTCATCCTGGCTAAAACTATTCAAGAAAATTTTTATTTCTTACAAATCACCAGCAGGTCTTCAGTATTCATCAGATCAGATCCACTGAGGAAAGAATTTGTAAAGCTGAAGCTATTTGGAAAGATGAACCAGAAAATGTCAGTCTGGAAGAAGTGCCCCATAGGTACCTGGGCAGCAGCTGGTCCCCCAAAACAAGCTGTTCCACAGAAGCCATATCTACGAATTTATTATCATACCATTTAAGCAAGAAGGACGACTCAGGACAGACCTAGACGCAACGACAGAGCCAAGGAGCCTGGCAGAAGGTTGGCCCTCAAAGCAGGTTCCATGAGCAGACTCCAGGTCCCTTCTCTGACTCAGTGTTCCATCCCCAAGAAGCCTTATTTAAGACAACATGGCAAGACCTGGCAGGGATGCCATCCCCTGGAATCTTAACTAGAGAGTGAGTTCTCATTACTTTCAAACCACAAGAACACAAATGCTGTTTGCCCACAGAAGTCCTGGTTATCTTTCTCTTCCTGCGGGGTCCCAGCTCACTCTATACTGTGTACATCAGGGACTAGGAGATGCTGAAATAAGGAGAAAGATAAATGATTACTGAAGGATGAAGCCAAAGTCCTAGTCTCCCCTCAGGTTAGCAGAGTTGCCATGGAGCCCATCTTCTCTGCAGCTCTGAGGTACCTGCAATCAGCGTGTGCTGTGGTCAGGAGTGAATACACACACCTTTTATAATGTGGTATCATGCTAATAGGAAACATTGCTTCCAAGGCTCACCAGCCAAGGCTAGAACATTAAAGAGACAGAAAGTACAGATTTGATCTCCAATGTTGCACAGGCCTCTGGAAACTATTGGAGAGGAAGAAGCTGGAGGAGCCTTGCTCCCGTAGCTGGTCTCTAACCTCCATGTGTTTTCTCTGACGGGCTGCTGAGACCCTCAGAATCTCTAGAGTGGTGAGTGTCTACGCTGTGTGTCCTAACTTTCTTTTTGTTGTTGTGATGAACACCATGGTCATAAGAGCACTTTGGAGAAGAGGAAAGAATTTATTTGAACTTTCAAGTGATAGCCTGTTATCTAAGAAGGGTAAAGCAGCATCCTGGAGGCAGGAACTGAAGCAGAGGCCATGAAAGAACATTGTTTACTGACTTACTTTTCTTTCACTGGCTCAGCCTGCTTTCTTATGCCACCTAAGACCACCTACCTGCCCACAGGTGACAGGGTCCACATCCGACATCAACCATTAATCAATAAAATGCCTCATGACATGCTTACGAGCCAATCTCATGAGGACAACTCTTCAGTCAGGCTTTCCCCTTCCTAGGGGACTACAGTTGTGTCAAGTTGACAAAACTAACCAGCACGGTACAGTCATGAGCTGACTAGGGCTTGTCATTGCCTAGTAAGTTTCCAAAGTGCGCCTTGTCAGCAGAGACACGGGGGCACTGTTCCTCACCCTGTCCACTCTTCCACACACTCTGACTTTCGAAGAGAAGAGAGAGGCTAAAGGTGACCTAAGATACCAATATGAGGACTGGCATTCAGACCCCCAGCCCTGATAGAAAGCCGGCCAAGGTGTCAGGACGTGGCAGGGAACAGCTCCTGCTGTGCAAGTGTGAGGCCAAAGCCAGACACAGTCACCTGCCCCTGCTACCCCAGTGCTGTGGGAAGTGGAAACATAAGAATCGTCAGGGCTTTCTGAACCCCCCAGCCTAGCTCAAAAGTGACAAGCTCTGGGTTCAGGGAGACCCTGTCTCGTGGAAATAAGAGAGAAAGTAATAGAAGAGGACACCTATGTCTCCCCCTTACGTGTGCACACATGTGCCTGTGCGCACACACACACACACACACACACACAGGAGGGGGTGGTCCTGCTTGGCTCACTTCTCAAACGTATCCTCTAAGGTTTTTGCATCTTCAAACCGGGGTTTCCCAGACACTAGTGGTTCTCTACTTTGGTAATAGAGCTATTAATATCACCTAGTGCATTCTGATAACAACTATTTATGTCATCCCGTGCGTCCTAATAAGCACAATCTGATGATGATCACTGTGTCAAAGCACCCCACCAACATTGCTGTGGGTCCAGCTCTGCCAGCAGAGATTCTGTGTGTGAGTCGCATAGCTATGCCTTCTGCTGTTTTTATCACGTGCCTCTGTCAGGACAGAAAGCCAAGTGGCCACCATTTTCTTTCTAGCTTGAGATACTTTGAGAGCTCACGCCATAGGAAGATGAGTGGAAGAGTGATCGTAATTGATGCATCAAATGTCAGTCACTGTGTTACTCAAAGAAGCAAAGTAAAAAAAAAAAAAAAAATTCACATGTTATTCTTATTCATTTTCTTGGGAATCCATTTCTTAGGATACTGAAAATTAATGCAATTTAAAATAATGAGCTTAAGCTAAGGGAGATAAACTCTAACTCTAAAGAGTTAACTAAGTGTGTGCTGCCTGTTGAGGGCAGGCAGGACCCTCTCAAGTTTGCAGAAATGCTCTCAGACCCACCCCAGGGCATCAGGAGGCCAGCGCCAGGCCAGGAGAGGGCTGGACCTTCAGTCCATTGTTCAGTCCTGCCTAACAAGAAGGCCTTGCTAAACTTGCCGGGATCAGAGGTCATCTCCTTCTGCCTTTTAAAAAATGCTATTTTAGGAAAAACTGCCCAAAACTGTGTCAGTCTATGCTGACTAACTGAAGCGCCATGTGCTGTGAACGCAGGAAGCCACAAAGGGCGGGAGTGCAGATGAGAAGATGGCATCTTCCCCTCTGTCAGCCTTGGAGCCAGTATATCTGAAGAGCCTAGACAGACAGCAGTGTGAAAAGCCCCAGGGAGAGGAGGATCACCCAAAACAGGCATCAACTGGGGTCTTTCAACATCAAGGTCAGAGTAATTCCCCCTTAATGAAAGACTTTCTGCGAACACACCACTGCCAGGCTAGACAAAGAAACCCACAATATTTTTTTTTAATTTTAATTTTTATTTATTCATCTTGCATCCCAGTTGTAGGTCTCTCCTTCCTCTCCTTGCAGTCCTCCTTCCCTCTTTTTCCCCTCTCCCACCTTCCCTACTCACCCACCTTAGCACATCAAGTTGCATCAGAGGGAATCCTCTTCCTCCGTTTCCTGGTGAGGTATCCCTGCCAGGAGAAACTGGCCAAAAAGTAGGCAACAGACTGGCCCAACCTAGACTCACCCCATGGGAGGCAGCCAACCCCTGACATGATTAACGAGAGTCTGCTGTGCTTGCAGATGGGATCAAGCATAGCTGTGCTCTGAGTGGCTCCAGCCAGCACCTGATAGAAACAGATGCAGAGACCCACAGCCAATCAATTGGGTAGAGTGCAGGGAGATTTGTGGAAGAGTGGGGAAAGGATAGAAGCACCCAGAGGGGAAAGGAGCTCCACAAGGAAACCAGCAGAGCCAATTAGCCAGGGCCCAGGTGGGAGGGAATGTTGTGGAGACTGAATCTCAACCATGGACTGGACCTCAGCCCCCTACACTAATATAGCCATTGGGCAGCTCGGTTCTCATATGGGTGCCGAGTAAGGGGAATAGGGAAAACCCACAGGATTTAGCACAATTTTTGGTTCCCAGACACAGACATGGCCACTGGCCCTTTTGGCAAATTATCGGATTGATAGCCTGGCCCATGCAGAGTGGCGAGGTGGAATTCACCGGTCTTTTGGAATCAAAAGGCATAAGAGTAGCCAACCCTCCCAAGCCAGTAGTAAGGCCATTGGGACTGCTGTGCTTTAGTTCTCTTGTATACAAAATAAAGCTAATAACACCATATATGTACAAGAAAGGGACGCCTAAAACCTATAAAGAATACAGGGTTCAGAGAAGACATGGCTACATGGCAACAACTAACACGGGAACCGCCTTGCCACACAGGAGGTGCGGCTCCCTCAGTAAGGGCTAAAAGGTTCCATTTGTGTCTCACTTACAAATGGGGCAATGGAGCAGGACGAAGGGATAAAGCCAGATCTACATACATGGCAAAGTGGACATAGCAAACGTGCTGCTGTATATGAGCACAAAACAGAGTGCTCGTTTGCTGGGAAAATTAACTCACGCTAATGAAAAAATCCACTTGTATCCTAACCTCACTCTATAACCAAGAATAAATCAGATGGATTGACAACTTCAGCACAAAAGACGCTCAGTGAATGGGTGGGGTGGGAGAAAGCTTGTTCACCTTGGATCAGAGTGGATTTCTTAGACATGTCAGAAGAAGCAAAGGGAGAAAAGGATGGAGCTGATGAAAATCCCTGCTCCAAAATGCATGGCAGACAAGCTTAAAAGGCAGTGACAGACAGAGACAAAACACCATCTCACTGTGTGCATCCTGGGAAGGGTTAGTGCCAGAAGACTGATAAAAAGCCTGCAACTCATCACAACAAGAAAAGTAACCCAGCTGGAAGATGGCACAGGCTACAAGTGAGGGAGGAAGAGGATTCTCACTCATGGATAGTCAGAAAAGTCCAAGCCACAGGCACCGATTCACACCTATATCAAAACTAATAAATGTTCAGACAGTAGCTGTTGTTAGTAAATGTCTGGGGGAGGGAATAGGCTCAAGCGGTAAGTTTGCAAATGTTTGTGTAGCCATTTTGGTAAGCCATGTAGCAATGTGAGCAGAATTTTGTGGGGACATGCTGAACAACACAAGAGTCCCTAAAAATGCACATCAGAGGCCAGAACATGCACAGACATGTCTAAAACTGCCAGAATTTGGACAGAGAGATGGCTCCGCTGCTAGCAGCATGTACTGCTCTTCCAGAGGACCGAGTTTGGTTCCCAGCACCTGTGTCAGG